ACTGCTACATGTATAACTGCTACAGAACCTAACACCTTGGGTGAAATTGGTAAGTGACCTCTAATGGATTTACAATGAGTTAGAACTGTTGAAAAATTGTAATATATGAAATACTTGAGTAAGATACATGATATATGCATAACTGCTACAGAACCTAACACCTTGGGTGAAATTGGTAAGTGACCTCTAATAGATTTACAATGAGTTAGAACTGTAGAAAATTGTAATATATGAAATACATCTAGAAGAGTAAGATACATGATATATGTATAACTGCTACAGAACCTAACACCTTGGGTGAAATTGGTAAGTGATCTCTAATAGATTTACAATGAGTTAGAACTGTAGAAAAATTGTAATATATTAAATACATCCAGAAGAGTAAGATACATGGTATATGCATAATGTGCTGTAGAAGGGCATCATTATGAAACCTGGCCCGGCATGGCCAGGTGGATAAGGCGCTCGACTCACAATCTGAGGGTCGCGGGTTCGAATCCGCATCCCACCAAACATGCTCGCTCTTTCAGCCGTGGGGGCTTTATAATGTGACGGTCAATCCCACTATTCATTGGTAAAAGAGTAGCCCAAGAGTTGGCGGTGGGTGGTGATGACTAGCTGCCTTCCCTCTAGTCTTACACTGCTAAATTAGGGACGGCTAGCGCAGATAGCCCTCGGGTAGCTTTGCGCGAAATTCCAAAACAAACAAACAAACATTATGAAACCTGTGAGTAAACAAAATATGTTCTGTATGCTATCAAGGAAGAGAGGATCATATGAAACTTGTAATAGTAATCAGTCCAGTATTCTTATTATGTTGTATGACCATAAATATTAATACTACCATAATGGCAATGACAATAAACAAACCATAATTTACTCATTGGCCTTACAGTAAACTCAATAGGAATTTTTCAACTTTGAACAGAAGGACTCATAAAGACATCAATAGTTTGATTTTTAATTACAAATAAAAAGATCAGTTCTTACTGTCTTCAAGCCTGGTCAGTTTTATAGCTAGCAACTAATTTCTCCTTGTTTTTTGTTAAAATCTTAGCTAACATTGGTATATTGTGAATGGCAGTTCCTCTTTGGCAATGAAAAAGGCTGTTAAAACACGGTTTAGGTTTTTGTTTCATATTGATATTTTGGAGCATTAACTAGAGGCATTGGACTTGAACATCTGCAAATTCTGGACATGTTACTCGGACCCCATGTAATTTAGAAGCCCCTTTAAAATCACACATTACCATTTCTATTTCTTCAAACAGTCACTGTTATACTTACACTGGTGTAACGTACAAGGAACTTGCTTCAAGTGACTTAATAGAGTCAATTCTAAGCACATATGATCTATTAACAATGACAAGGCACATAGAATATTACATTTTCATCATTATACTTAAGTCATCTAAAGTCATCATTATACTTATATGAAAACCTTTTTTCTGTTCAGTTTCTTCATATTTAGCATTCCTAGCCTAGTAAATTTTGATGTAAATCTCCAAGAAAGAAATAATGTTTAGTCTTAGTAAAGGAATTTAAAGTGATGTCATTTTACGATAGTTGCAAATGTGTGTATATATATAAATAAAGAATAAGGGTTTAATACACTTTTAATATTTCTGTTTATATCATTTTACAAGTTTCGACATTAAACCTTGATTTTAAATCAAAAACTTGTTATCTAACACTGTTAAGAATTATTTGTGTACTACGTGTTCATTGATTTGGTAATCAGGCACCTATAGGCCAGTGAATTCCTGTGTGTAATATATTGTGCACTACTGTTATTATTGTTGAGTAATTGAAGAAAAATGATCAGTAATTTTTATTGAACTTCAATTTTTAAATACAAGTTTTGTAGGGATGTTGTTCACATATGGGCATTTCACAGTATCATCAATTTTAAACTTTATCCTCCAGAAAGTTGCTTGTCCCAGTCATGCAATTAGTTTTAGCCTTCAGTTGTCCTGACCTAATATCTACTTGTCTCAGACAGGCAGACATCCCTAAAATATTACAGAATAAAATAATTAGTAAGCTTTTAAGTTTTATATGACAGTGTTACATTGTTTAAGAATGAGAGTTGAAGCTAAGTTACAGCATACATGTAATTAATATTTGTTATTATATGAGCATGAGTCAAATGATAGACTTTTTTAAATGACTTTGAATATAAGAGGTGAGAATGGAATGCCTACTTAAGCAATGTCGGTTTAGTGGCACATGGCAGTTTATGTCAGCGTTTCTTTCTTTAAAAGAATGTTTTGACAACAAATACTGCTGATTCAATTTTCCGTTTACTGTGATCTGTAGCAGATGTAGTCACAGACTGTATGTAGGTCTGATAACTTGTTATTTTTATTTAAAGGAATGTTTTGACAACAAATACTGCTGATTCAATTTTCCGTTTACTGTGATCTGTAGCAGATGTAGACACAGACTGTATGTAGGTCTGATAACTTGTTATTTTTATTTAAAGGAATGTTTTGAGAATTGATACAGCTTTAAGAAAGATACAACTACGTGTACCAATACAGTGGGCTAGTAATCATATTTTTTTAGTTTTACTTGTACATTATACAATATTTTTTTATTGGTTATTACTGTATAGTATAGTTAAATATTAAAAATCTGCCAGACAGTGGCTCGACATTAAGTCTGAGGACACACTACTAAAAACTGGGTTTCAGTACTTGTGGTGGGCCAGGAACGTCGAGAGCCACCATGGGCCCCGGGTGGCAAACATCCTCACTGGGCCCTTTTTCTCTCTCTCTCTTTTTTAACATTTTCAAGAATTTATTAAAAAGAAGATCCTAAATTAGGAGAACAACGAGCTAATAAACCACACAAAATCATAGCAGCATCCGTTTTTACCTCACAGTATAAGTGTAAAAACGTTAATAAAGTAACAACTAATATCTATT